GCGAAAACAAATTACACACAAATACTCGTAATTTCGGCAAAAATGTTCAAGGGGTTGGGTGCCACAGGGCAGAACCAAGTGACGTTCCTGTCTCTGACTCAGTTCGTTAATGGCAGCGCAATTAATTCGAGCAAATCGTCTGTGAACCCTTTTTATGACCCTCCAAGAGGGTGGGGCCGGCGACGGCCCAAGCGTCGCTCTCAGATAAAAATTCATTAAACGGTAAGCCCGTCAGTTTTGTTTGGCTTTTACGTTGGCTTTGAACTGTTTGCCACGAAAATAATAAACGCGAAATAGGCGCACAATAATATAAAATTTGTTTAAATGCCAACCAAATTGATGCGCCATTTGCGAATGAATGATTAGGGTTGGCTCAAATCCAGGGGCTGCAAGCCACCGAAAACAAGGGTCGGTGGTTTGGTTTTCCACAACCATAAACACTGGATGTGCCACGAGCCTTAGTTTCCGAAATATTTAAAAGATATTAATAAAACAATTTGTCCGTTCTACTAAAAACATTTTGCAGCTTTTCATAGAGAACCGGCGGGATCCAATAGTTGGGTCTCCGGTTATATATGCTTTGTTATCTGAGTATTTTTAAGACGTTTTTTCGATTCAGTCTTGAGCAACTGGTTTGGCTGAAGCTAAAAATAAATATTATTCCGGGTTCAAATAGGTTCAGTTGAAAACCGTTTGGCAACCTGCTTACTGCCTTAAGGCGGGTATGCTGATAATGGAATCCAACTTACTGCGTATTTTTTAAAACAATTTATGATAACTCTTCAATTCCACTTAAATCGCCTGCTGATATCTGAATAAATCAAACTCAATTGCTTACTTGGGTGAAGATTTTGTAAGAGCTCCAAATTCCGGTATTCGCTCTCTGTGGAGCCCGTTCGTGAGGCCCTACGACGAAAAACGAATAAAATGAAAATGCTAAACTGAATGAATTTTCCGCAGCAGAAATACCTGAGAGCGCAGCACAGCATTTAATGAGGGCCATAAAATCGAAGCGCCGGGCCAGTTTCGAGGGCCTTCAAAAAAGGCGAAATGCCCCAGAGAAGTGTAACAGGTGCGATAACAACAAAAACCGGTGAATGTCTGGACAGCAGCCAAAAGACAATGAAATTATAATGAAGATTATGTGTAAAACAAAGTGCGGCCTCTCGTTTAGGTAGCAGGCGAAGGATTTTAGGTAACACGTTGAAAGCATTTTAAAGCTGCGACGACCTAAAAGCAAAACCATTCTCTAATTTTTGGTATTTGCTTTGATATTTTACCGACGCGACGGATACCCTTTTTAAATGATTTGTTGTGCAAATGGAAATCGGACTAAAAGAATCCGAAACCGAAAAAGAAATAAAATCCCAGCCGAAGAATTGGTTCGCTCTATGCAAATGTCAAAAGGGTACTACCGAGGACGGGGGCGTGCCAAGCTGAACTAAGTGAATGCATAACGCATAATCTTTTGAGAGAAACAAAAACCATAAGCCGAAGGATGCACGCAAACAATAAGCGCTCAAAATACAATATGAAAACAATTTAAGCTGTTTGCTCAGCTCGACTCGCAATCGTTATCCGAACTAAACTTGAATTGTTGTAAATACACAGTAAGAAAAGTTGGGCTTGATGTAAGCTGATTGTTCTAATAATTGTTTTGTAAAGGTAGTTAAAAATTATATAAACTCGGTGCAACTAATCTGAAGTTATGAAAGCATGCAAAACTTGTAGTATTTCCATGACCAGAGAGATGTAAGTAGTTAGAGGGGATATTTGCACCTACTTGGTGAGCTTCCTTTTGGAGCGCTTGTCACTCCCATCATGACTGACAAGTTTATCCTTTCTGGCAGCTGCATCTTTTCATTATAGCGGAGCTACCAGGGCCTGGGCAAGGCCAAAATGCCACTTGCTGGCTATCTATGCGGCTGTCAGTTGCACACCAAATGGGTCAACGACCTGCTCTAGCTAGAGGAGCGGTCGGGAGTGGGGGCAACCGTGGAGTTTTGTGCCATGTAACGCGCATTGTTGCTGCTGATGAATGCTTCATGGTCGTCATAGTCGTCATAGTCATCCTCATCTCTATACATTTTGCCTATTCATTTGTCCTGGCGTTTGTCTGTTGGGTGTCCGGCCCTCGACCCCTCGACCCTAGCCACCTATCCAAGAACTTCAACTTGTGATACCCATCTGAATTTGCATTATTTTCTTTCGCTCTTCATTTCTGCTGTTGCCGCTGTTTACTGTCATTCTGATTTTAATCTCTACTGCGATGCCTGCTGCCGCCTGATGCTGCTTCTGCATTTGTATACCCTGCACGCATTGAATATGGGTATAGTAGTTTTGTACAAATAATATAGATTTTTATATATTACAATCCAAGTTTATAGGAGCAACATTGGCCAAACATAATTTATTATATATCACTTTTTAAATACCGTCTCCTGTTGTGCCCAAATTTTTAAAGGTAGAATCTTGTCCTGAAAATTACATATATATAGGACTATAAACTTTAAAGTAAATGAAGATTGTATTTCCAATGCATGGTGTGGGACAAACGGCGTTCTGACGGCCAGAACGTTTATAGCGGCAGCTTAGCTCCAAATTCAGGTTACCCTCCAGCCGAGCACTCCCGGTTGAAGCACTCTTACTTGATATATTTAGTTTTTAATTTTTTCCACTGCCCTGCAGATTTGTTGTTGTTGTTATTCTTGTTGTGCCCTCGTACCTGCCGAGTGCCCAGATGAACAGGTTCCATTTCTTTAGGTTTCCCACTGCACTTCTGTTGTTGTTGTTACTGTTGTTGTTGTTGTTGTTGTTGTTACTGGACGCACATTTCCTTCGCTGCCCTGGCCAACGTCGTCTTGACGTTTCATTCGCATTTCATTTGCTGTAGCCCGATTTAAGTCTGAAAAAGTATCCTAATTGGTATTAAAATCGCTGTTATTTTTTCAACCTTTGTTGGCCTGTCTTGACGTGAATGGTTTTTGTTGTATTCTGATACTTTAAAAGGCAGATTCCAACGCATTTTCTGCTTTATCCTTAGCCGTATTCAAATTGCATTCACCGCCCCAAAACACAAATAAACAAAACCGAGAGGTTCAGGTTAAGTTGCGCATTTTCTGATTTAATCACTTACATTCTGATAAAAATCAAAATAAAATCGCTTCTGTTTTGCTTTGCCAGCGATTTCAGAGCCCGATTACTTTCCCGGTATTTGGTAAATAAGGTATTATAGGAAATTCTCTTTGGAAATAAAAGTAAGCACAAATTTAAATACGGCACGTAATTAAATCATGTCAAAATATAGTTGCTTTCATTTAATCAATTCTTTTCAGTGTCCGGCCCAACATAATTAAAATGAATTATTTTAAGCCCGTTTATTTTGGGAAATAGTTACCAACAGTTACACCCAATAAAAACGAAAATAAAACTGGATCTGATATCATAAAACAAAATGAGCTATGGTCTGTAAATCATACCTAACCGTTACATGATTTGTATTGTGTAGGTCAGTTTAAATGTAAGTTATGTTAACTATTTTAGTCTAACATTAGTCCGAAAATTAGCTTTACAAATTACTCTTTGTCGTTAACAGCGCTAAAATCTCTTTGGCTACATGTGGATTTCATTACTCCGAATTTTCAACATAATGAAAGCGGGTGAATGTAAATGGTTCTCTTTAGAGACGATCCTCAAAAGCTATTATTTTGATTAATAATTATATATAATTAAATAGATCAAAAGTTTGGCAAGGATCAATACATTAACATTAAAATATTTCTAATACTATGGCTACCGGTAAACAATTTTCTTAACATTTTTAAACGTATTTCCAAAACTCCTAAAAAGTCAGCCAATGCTGAACTAGACCGTTAGCATTAACAGTCACTTAAGATCCACAAGAAGAGCTGCAGAGAACCTATAGCAACAGAGTGCTAACACAAAGTGAGCGCTATGTTTATTCTGTGGACTGCATGCAAGAAAGTATGTCATGCTGTTAAATTCAAGACATATTGCCAAGACCCACAAAGTACTTCCATGTAAGTAGATAACATATTAATCAAACTTTATGCAAACAACGGGCACATTACGATTAATGGCAGCCAATTAGTCGAAAATATGAACTTAATGACATTGATTTATGATAATTATGATGATGATGATAATGACAGTTTTATTGGCTCACTTGTTAATGACATGCATTAAATAAAAAGGACTAATATGCATGCCTTAGTATAGTCGGCTGCATAATTGTCCAGCTCTGCACCACAAAGTTCTTTAGCCAGTTAACAGAATGCATTTACCGCTGCCGCATTAACAGCTGCTGTACTCAGCAGATAACAGCCGCCGCTCTCAGCAGCGCATGCGAGCATACCACAATCCACATATCTCAGCATGTTGCTGAGAGCAATGCGTACCACACACAAATTCTGTTAGTTAACATGCGTGCGTGTTGGTAAACTAAGCGTCCACTCAGTATTGCCGAGAGTTTCAAGCGTGCTGGTTGTGGACGCGGCTGGTGCTACGTTTAAAACCCGATTCGCGTTCGTTCGTTCGTGCGTACGTTCGTCGCTCTCGTCGTCGTTATATCGTATTATCCGACTATATATTCGACTGCCCAAATAGCGATTAAAAAGCCAAGATCTGTTGCGGCAACCAGTTGACCAACGCGTGCATCATTTAGCCCAATCCTTGTACGATCGTTTTAATTGTAAGCAAAAAACAAACCAAAACGAAAACAAAAAAACTGTTCCTCGGGCCCTAAAACAACAATTGAGAAATATTCAAGATTTAAAGCCAACATCTTTATGAAAACAAAGCAACCAAATTGAGAGCGTGTCCTTTTTATGTGTTGCCGTTAAATCAAATGCAGCTTATGAACGCTGCAGCTGTGCTGCTCAAAAAAATTTGTGTGGGTGTATGTGCGTGTGTGTGTGTGTGCAAAAGTGTAAATTATTAAATTAGCGCTCAGCGGAGCGGGACAAGGAAAACAAAAACGAATACGAAAAAGCGAAAACGAATAGAAAGAGGAAAACGAAATCGGGATAAAAGCGGATTACATCAAGGATTAAATAACAAAGTAATTTGCATATGTTGAAAATAAATTAACATTATGTATGCCCTCCACTTGCATAACACTAATTTTACATTAATTTATGCCACCCACCCCCCATTTCGCCCACCTGCCCACTCACGCACACACGCTTACTGTGGGTCAGCCACTGGCGGATGTCCGTTCATGTCCATGTTTTGAGTCAATGAAAATTTTTAATTGTGCACGCGTGTCGCAAGTGACCCCCAAACGGCGCTACGCCCCAATCAAACCAATGGGTTTGTGTGGGGTTGGGTGGTTAAAAAAAGAGGGGGCGTATCCTGTATGCCGTGATGTTTACGCCCCCGTCCAGACTGCATGTTACCCGCATATTTGTCATGCGTATTATATTTACCATACCTGGTAAACTTGCAACCGTTTCTGGTCAATCCGCAATCAACCCCCCTGCACCCTAGCATCCGCCCTTTTGAGTGCTTAGTTAAATGTGCAGGGCAATTAGAAAGTTAGTTAGCGAACTATGCTTTAAGCATTTTTATTATTATATTTTTTTCAGAGCAGCTTCTGTGACCATTGTTACCCATTAATTTACAATAATATAAAACCAATTATAATCGCCAGTAGGTGGAAATGTAAAATAATGATATATAAAAGGGGCGATTCACAATTTTGGAGAATCCTGTCTAATGATATTAATTATTTCCCTGCCAGTGTGTTCCCGTATTTATATGTATTAAAAACCCCGCACACATACTATGCAATGTTTTTAAGTAAATATTAAAAATTTAATAAGTATTAAAAACCTAACATATGTAGTGTAAACTTTTGTATAAATAAATTGTCCGCGCATAGCACGCTTTACCAGATTTTTAATTTTTCTTTGCTATTCCACTTTCAATTATCCCCAAAACTGTTTATAAATCTTTGTCGGACAACTTCATTTCTATCCCTAACAGCTCTTAAGCTATGCTTAACTCACATCTTAATTTCAATTGGAGTTTGATGTTTTTTTTTTCCGTTCTGTCGTTTCATTTTGCCCCAGCTTAATTTCAAAATCCCCACACAAATTTTAGTATGTGCCACGCTTTGCTCCTTGGCCACCAATTTCCGAACCACTTGAACGCTTCAAGTTGGCTGCGTGCCATGCGTCTCTTTGCCCTTGGTCTCCTTTTTTGTTGCGGTCAGTTTGCCGCGTGCCGAGTTTTTGGCGTGCACGTGAAAAGGACATCACCAACACACACACACACACACACACGCGCGTGTGTGAGCATAAAAAGCCAAGAGCCAAACACAAAAACCACTAGGTTAGGTTTGGCGGTGCAGAGTGCTGGAAGGTAGCTGCCACGGGAGCACCGCTCGTCCACGTTGACCTCGTGTCGCCTGCAGCGTTAATTTATAATTTACTGTGCTCACTGAAACCGTCAAAACCAACACCCACCACCAACTGGCATCCACTCGGCGGTGCTCTGCCCACTTTTATTATTATTATTTCTGTGCGTTCTACGCGCTTTTCCGAGCCTTGCGCGCTTTCCATGCGATTCGCCGAGTTTTGACTTTTTTACATTTGCCGTCGGCGCGACGGACTCTTTGTCGTTGTCCTTGTTGTGGTTCTTCTTATTGCTGTTGTTGTTGTTGTTGTCCATGGTGTTGTTATTGTTGCGGTGTCCCTTCATATACTGGTCCTTGGGGTTGGGGTCCTGGTTCTGGTCCTGGTCCTGGCTAGCGGCTCCTATTCCATGTTGTGTGCCACAGCCAGACGCTTGTGAAAATTGCCTTTTCAACTACTCACCGACATTTGCGCGCTGTTGTTGCTTGTTGCTGTTTTTAGTGCCTTAATTTTGTTTTCGTTCTATATATATGTGTGTATGTGTGTGTGGGTGTGTGTGTGTTTGTGTTTGTGTGGTGTTGCTGTTGCTTTTGGTTTTGGTTTTGCTTTGCGGTTTTGGTTTTTTTGTCGGCACAGTTTTTTATTTGGAAATTTGTGACTTCTGGTCCGCACCCCGCGGAATCGAGCGACTGTTGCTTGTCCTTTTTTGTCGCCGTTTTGTTTGCTGTTTTAATTAATTTGTAAATTTACTTGGCGAGATTAAAGTTAAAATGCAGAAAAAGAGAAGCAGGAAGCAAATTAGCTGTAGCCCAAATGGCACATCACATACATAAATTCAGTTCAAGTATTTTGTTCGGAATTTTATAAAAGTTTTTGGCTTTGTTAACATTTTTGCAGGCTTGGTAAGCCCGAGGATTAAGATAATTTTCTTTAATGTGAAATTTAACGCCAGTACACATAACACAACAATTTTAATAATATTTCAATTATGTATGTAAAAAATAAAAGGAACAATTAAGAAATAATTTTTCCTGATAATGATACGCTCATCAGAAATGCAATTTAAAATATTTAATTTAAATAAAAAATGTAAAGCTGAAAACAATATGATTATTTGCATCATAAAATTCATTTTTAATGGGTATAATTTTTTTCCAGATCCTCAAAGAATAAGCTTAATGCATCAAGTGAACCTGTAAACCCCAATTCATCTTCTTTTACTCAGCAGTTTTTAAAGCCACCGCAACCACAAAATTGTGCTAATAAATTCAATTTCCTTATTCACACAGTAACAACAGCAACAGCACAAACATAACCCAAGCACACACTCACAAGCAAATTGAGGAAAAGCCGGTGAAAAACATTTTCCTAAAGGCCATTAATCGCTCATTTTTCGCATAAACAAAAAACCGCCTGACGATGTTTGCCCAGTCAAAACAAAAGCAGCAACAAAGAAAACAACAACAACAAGCATTAACAACAGCTGTTTGTTGTTGTTGGAAATGTTTAGCTTTTGTTTCACTTTCGAGCACCGCAAAAACAAAATAAACTTTGTCATTGTCTCGTGACAAATTTGAATGGTAAATGTCGATGAAGTCGTTTTACTGCCGCCCGTCCGTAAAAAGCGCTTAATGAAAACATGCCAAAAATACGCCGAGCATAGAAGGTACAAGAAAAACGTTAACAGCCCGTGCTTGAATTTAAAATTAAATAAGCAACGACAAGAACAAAAAAAAATCCCAAATGTGCAATTAAAAAATTTTACAGTCATAACTTTTTATTATGGTACATAATTCAGTTGCCTCTTTTATGCACAGTGCTGCGCGTGCTTTTCCTCATTTCATTTCATTTTATTTCATTTCATTTCATATTCTCTTTCGTCCTTTTTTCCAATAAATTGGCTTCAGCCACCCAACTGCCAGCCCACTCTCCTTCCTCTCTCACTCTCTAAAAAATTAATTTCATTTTCACAAGCTAAATTTAATTATATTTAACCTGCTTTCTGTTTATATTATATTTATTTTTCTTTTATTCATTTTTTTATTTATTACATTTATATTTTTATCAGATTGTACACTAGTTATGCTATAACAGTTTCGTTTAATGGTTTTGCCAGTTATAAAAGAAAGTTAATGCTCTTTAGTTACGGATTTGTGTTTTTTACATTTTTCTAATTACCTTCCCATTGGGTTATTTATAAGAACTCACTTTTCTATACCCACAACCATGCTGGAATTTTATTCAACTTAGCGTGTCAGTTGACTCATAATGTGTCTGACAAAAGGGTTAAAAGGCCACGCCTTTGACGGTCTGTCTGTTAGTCAGTCGGGGGTGTGTGCATCCTCGGGGACCCCTTGCATAAGTTATGCCCCACACACATGTCTTACATTATCCTCTGGGCTCGTAAAACTTCCTAACAACCAATAATTGTCGCTTCAACTAAATAATGCATAAATAATAAAAACTCTTTCGACAACAACAAGAACTAAACTGAAGCGCAACAACACCAGACACAGACGTCGGCGACGGCGGCGGCGGCGGGTGGTAATACTCTCTAATGGGGATCGGGAACTGGCAGGGGATATGTTGTTGGCCAACAAAGTGAGAAAAACCGCGACGTCGAGCATAAAAAATGCATAAAACGAGGACAAAATAAAGTCATAAAGTAAAAATTGCTGGCGTAACGTAGCCCCGTGAACCATAGAGAGAATAAAAGAGTGAGAGAATGAAAGGAGTAAATATGTTGCTCAACAAATGACGGAATGAGTCAGGGAGCGTAGGTGTTGTAACGCTCTATGTGGTGCTCTCTGCTATTGTTGTTGTTGTTGTTGCTGTTGTTGTTGTGGTGCGACTTGTTTGAGGTTTCAATAGGTCATAATTCACGCCTAGTCGCCCCTTTTGCCGAGACCTCAGTGCTGTGGCGCCAAAAGGGATTGCAATGGTTAAAGGGGACATGCCGACGAGAGATTCTAGCTAGGTGGCATGCACATGACGTTGGCGCCACACTCAAAAGCGCACAAAGCAGACACACACAACAGATGTGTTCTGCGGCCACGGCCAATATTATAAATGCAGAACAAGAACGAACCACTGTTGAATTCTGTGACGCACTATTCAACGCACAGTGAGGTAATGTTGAGAAAATGAGTTGCGTGATTATAATAGGGAAAAAGTACAATTTTTCTACATATGTAGCTGTTATCAGATAAGGAAAACATAACAGTTATATCTGGTAGGTCAATATTAAATACCCTTGTAAAAATATTGAAGATTTGGGATAATTTTCCATGCTGACGATATTTTCTTAGAAATGAGGAGCACAAAGATTCTTGTATGTGATAAATTTATTGAATATATTTTGGAAATAAGTAAAAGAAGTTAATCTTCCTACGATAGTTCCTTTGGCAGATATGATATACTAGTTCCTTCTCTATGTATACTAGTCCCATGCATTCATATATGCTACCTAAAGCAAGAGAAACATTAATCATACAACTTACAACAACAACTTACAAAGTAGCCTATGTAAATACTAGACGAACTTACCCGGTATTGCCCGGGCTATATAAATAATGTTGAAAACACAAGTAGAATAACTTTTCTGATGTAATTTTTCCAAGATAAATGCAAAGGCGCAAAAAAAGAACGTGAACAAAAGTATTGTTTTAAATCCTTGCCCATTGTGGCTTACTAATAACATATT